TGATATGTTAAACGAATTCGTAACTTGTTAATATAGTAAAAGAGACGATTATGAAAATAACAGCCACTAAAATGGATGTGAACTTGAGATTTTGAATTAAATTAGGATTGAAGGATGTAATACTAGTTTATTTTAAACTTAATTACCAAATTGAAGTAAGCTAAAAACGAAACTATTTATGGTTGGCATGTACATTCATTGAACAGAATTATTACCTTAATTTGGCAGAGAGCGTTAGTTTTCATAAAGCGTGCGTGAAGACAAGTATCATTAATTTTTCCAAGAGTCTATAACTTTTCATTTTCTTTAGGGTTTATAGTAGGGAGTTGAATCTCAAATCCTGTCATGGAACTGTTTTAACCGAAAAGGATAGACAAAAGGAGAAAACGTGAAGCAAACCAGGAGGGTGAAAAAATATCAATGGAGAAATTCTTGGATAAGTTTCATGCACTGGCTTCCTAGATTAAAGTAAAAAAATTTAAATTTCAATATTTGAACTTACAGTAAACAGTTAAAGTAAATTTGATTTATGGAATGCTGGAAAGTGATGATACGAAAGTTGGCCGAAGGTGTTATTTACTAATAGTTTTCCTATGTGACTTTGATAAACAGAAAGTGATGATAGAAAAAGATTTTACGCAAGTTGGAGTCCTTGAACTAACATCAATTACTATGTCGGAGTTGGAGAAATATTGGTTAATCTCTCTTGTTCTGTCAAGTTCAGGCATCATCACTGCCGTGAGATGGAAGTAGAAACCTTTATTTTCGGTCTTGCTTGGTTAACAATTTTTTTTATTCTCACCAATCATCACACCTAATTTAGAAACTAGATCGCTGCTGCTAGAACAAAATTAATGTGGTAGTGGTTGGTCCTTTGCTACGTCCCCCCAACTTAAAAACATGGAAGTGATTCTCATGCACTCCATGTTGTAATCAAAGTAATTTCGGGTGAGACAGCTAGACGTGTTCTCAAAATGCCAAAACCACAACATTTTGGAAAATAAGTATATTTGCAGACTAAGTTAGAATGTTTGCCTCCACGATTTATTTTTAGAAGCTTATCCCATATTTGGTAATCAAAGAAGCCTGCGAGTTAACCATTTCCAAATAAAATTTTATCCATGGCTAATTGAGATGGGCGAAATTAATTGCTGTAAAATAACAAGCTTAATTAACTGATATAGATCTGAAATTTTGAGCATTTT